TTTTTCCAATGTACATTTGTAGTGTTTTTTATATTTTATTTTTGAATTCGAATATTAATACCAATTTATTTAATTGTCTTGATTTCTTGAGAACTGAAATTGATGGCGGGTTACATGCAAGTGTAGTGCCTAATTATGTGGTGGCGAAACGGAATAGATGATACCGAAATAATTTAATGCGGTCACACCAAAGTTAAAAGATAATTACTTTTTCAAAATCGTTAAAAAATCACGAAAAAAGAGATCTTATTGCAAAAATTCTCAAAACGGGAAAATATCGAAAAGAAATTTCCAATGGAATTGAATTTTAAAATAAAAGTACATTCTATTGACAAACTTTGTAAGGATCTTTAAACAGTTGCTGTAAAAAATCAGCGAACAAGTTGAAGATTTTTTCAATTTGTTATTCTTCTTTTGTCAATATTTTTGAATTTGTAATATCATATTGAATTCAGTGGATTTTTTTGTGAACAAAATAAAGAATAATTTTTCACTATATACAATTTTTCACCAAAAAAATGAAATAAGTGCGAAATAGGATGTTAACTGACATCTACCTTTCAACTCCAGGGCCTACATCGTGCTTCAGCTGGAAGATGCGCAGACATTTAAACAAACAATGGCCGAAAAAGACTAACGGGGCTTATTTCAAAGCGCGGCCCTACTTCTTTCATGTGACAATAATCCATCCAATGAGAGCTCAAAATGCAAAAATTTTTGGAAGTACAATCAGTAAAATACCAAATATAAAGGGTGCAAAATAGTAAAGCGAATGGGACTTTTAGTAAGAAAAGGATTTCTATCCTTCCAAAAATTCTTCCTGAACATTTAAGATACCTTAAATCGCTTTTGCAAGTCATGATATCGATCATAAATAACCATCGTATAATTTAAGCTATTTTTGGAGTCTTCGCCACTTTCTTCTATTTTTGGCCCTTATTTGGCATATTTGTTTCTAAGGGGGTAGAAAACCTCTTCGCATAAAATTTTCGGAGTAGGGCCCATATTGGTCTTGATCACTAAAAAATTGTATTTATGCTACCCTGGGGTAAGGAACCATCGTACAGATAATTGCCACATAGAAATTTATTCATGTAAAGTCCCCACATTGGAGTATCCCACACATCTAATGTGTGGTCAGAAAAGAAAAATTTGTATTCTATTGAATTTGTAACGCCCAGGAGAATATTGGTTGGGAACGTAGATTTGGGATATACATATATATAAAATAAATTGTGAAAACATGAACAAATTACAAATATAGGAAAGTAGCAGGAGACCGAAAATTTGTTGAATCGTCATTGAATTATACTATGATGAAAAATATGGACTTTATGGGGTCTCCTATTTACAATTTAAATGACAAATAAAATTAGTTCCCATCTTACGGTAATGGGTGTAAAATAGTAATTATATTTGACTATTCTGAAATCAGTCTGTCTGTCAGTCTTTTCGTCTAAATTTTGACGCTATACGTCAAATAATGTGCGCTGTAACAGACATACAGACGGACAAATCGACTTAGAGTTTTATGCTGATTATGAATATATATGCATGACGAACATTTAGTGATGTTACAAATGAAATGAAAAGTTAATATACCCTCCTTTCCAAGGTGGATGATATAATAGCATTAAAGACTAGAATTACGGGCCGGCAACGCGGACCGGGCCAGCTAGTTGTATTATAAATGAAATGAGTACACAATACGATGTTAAATGGTGATATTTCATGTATAAAATTGGCATCTAGCTTTCAATTCCAGGACCAACATCGCGCTTCAGCTGGAAGATGCGAACACATTTAAACAAACGAAAATGGCCCACAAAGAGTTACGGGGCTCTTTTCAAAACGTGGACCTACCTAATCGTTTCATATGACAATAATCCGTCCAACAAGATTTCAAAATGTAAAATTCATTGGGACTGCAATCAGTGAAATACAGAATATAAATGGCGCAAAATAGTAGAGCGAATTGGACATCTGTAAGAAAATGATTTCTATCCTTTTAGAAATTATTCCTATACTTCCTCATGATATGGGTCATAGCCCCCAGATAAGGGTACAACCCGATTTTAAGTATATTTTACATTTTAACCATATTTTCAAACTAATTTTGGTTTGAGAAGAAACTATCATTGCAAAAAATGATCACGTTTTGGTACAACCGTCATATGATTTAATATATTTTCGGGGTCTTGAACAATTTTTTTAATTTTTTGGCCCTTATTTGGTATCATGGTTTCTAAGGAGTTAAAAACCACTTCGCATAAAATTTTCAATTGTCGTAATGGGACATTCATCAATTGATTTGACTAAAAAATTGTATTTAGGCTATCCTGGGGAAGATAATCATCCTACAGATAATTGTCCAGATAGGCATATATTTAAGTAAATGCATAATATATGACTTCTATTGAATTTGTAGCCACAAAGAGAATATTGGTAGGAAACGTAGATTTGGGATACGTCTATATGAAATAAACTCCGAAATTTCAAAATGAAACTCATTTTGTCGGAAATTCTTACAGAAACATGAAAAAGTAGCAACGGACCGAGCATTTCCTTAATCGTAATTGAATTATACTGTCACGAAAAATATGGACTTCAGGCGGTCTCCAACGCACAATTTAAATGACAAAAAATTGATTCCAAACTTATGCTAATGTGTTAAAAGAGTTATTATCTTTGACTATTCTGAAATAATTTTGCCCTCAATTATGAGGTGGACAAAACTAAATATCATGCAGTAAGGTATTCTAAACGTAGGAAATACAAATTCCAAATTACAGCTCATTTGAATGGAAAATGTTGCTATCAATCACATGGGGCTATTATAGATGTTGTATATCATATAACCTATTTAACACCATTTAAAACTATTCAAAATATCTAAAACCGGTAATAGGTGAACATCTATTATAGTTTTCGCCATGATTATTTATTTATATTTAGAAATTACTATGGAGTCATTACTAACAATAAAAATTGGCATTAAAGACTAAAACTACGGGCCGGCACGCGGACCGGGTCAGCTAGTTATATCATAATTTGAATTTACTTGAACGAATTGAATATTCGGTTATTAATTGTAGATATTTTTTTATAAAATTACTAGAGGTATATTATGCAAGTACATTTTCGACTGTTTCTTGTTGGTTATTATGCCTCTATTGATTTGTATTGTTTTTGTTTTTTGTAGTGTTTACTGGGGAGCATTTTAAAATTCGTTTTATAGAATTGAATAGTGTGATAGTATTTATAAGCTCTCTTCTTTGTAATGAGTATCTTATTAATACTATTTATTGGCCTTGGAGGATTTGGTATTAAGAATGAAATGAAGAAATGAAAGAAATAAAGAGGAAAGACAGAAATTGGTTTGGGTGAAAAGATAGAGATAAAATCACGAAATTTTATGAAATTCGTACAGTGAACGTACGAAAAGTGAAAACTATCACAAAATGTACCGTTGGGATAGAAATGGAATATTGAAATTTGGTATCGAGTTCACTGTTGGTGTATGGGGTGGAGAGAAGGAGGTGGTTTTAGACATGCGTAGTGTAACTGTGCGAAAAGAAAGGCATTCAATTTGGGATTCGGGAGAAGGAGAGAAATGGAAATAAAGTTTCCGTTAAGTGAATGGATAGAGCTTGAATCCTGAAATTTAATATTGAGGTCACTGTTGGTTTCTAGGATTCAGATGGTGCCCAATTTTTAATATGAAAAGACGTTAAAATAGTTTTGACCAGAAAAATTAGATGTGGAATCATTATGCAAGGGCTTAGCTAATATACTATCCGGTAATCTTAAAAAAATAATTTGAAGACTTTTTGTGTAAAAATTAATCAATTTTCGATTATCCTTTTCGATAAAGGAAAAACTTGAATACAAATAAGGTGTAACTGAAAAGATAGTACAATGTATGAAGTTTTGTTTTAAAATAATAAACAAATTGTGAATTATTCTAGTGTTAATGTAAGACATTGAAAATGTTGCCTTATTTATATTGAATTGTATGAAATAAATGAAAAGTACTGTTTAGTCAATCCTATTCTCCGATGTGCGTATGGAAACGGTGTTTAAAACACATTATTTATTCAACAGGGAATATAATTTACTAAACATTCTTTGTAAAATGATTTACCCAGTAAAAGTACGGAATGTAAATTCAGTCGGAAATAACTGATCAATACATTCAAAATACCAATAATATCAACTTAAAGTTAATTAAAGAGCAATACTAAAACTATTGCCGATATAGGTTATGTTAAACAGCACTTAAATATGAATATTATGTAAATTGGCAGTTATGAATTTTAAGTTTTGACCAAGTACCAATTTATTCACTCAAAGAAACTTTTACAGTGCACATAAGTCACTCTCTATGTAAATATGCAACAAAATATAAAAAATTGTATAAAATATAGTGTTACATTCCATTCTTCATATTGCATTCTATCCCTACCACGTCCTCAATTTCACGGAGACAGATTCTACGATGCCAGATATCCATATTCGGGTCTGTTTATTTTTCATAGCCACGGGAAAGCTTACTGATCATTATTCCGAAAGTTCTCAAACCGTCCGATTCTCCGTTTCGATTCCTTCGTTTCAATTCTACAGTCCACTTCCCATCCATGGCCGCTATAGAACGTTGACAAACCCTGATAGTTTCAACCCAACCACGTTCAAGATGGCGAGTCATCTTATTTCATATATAGGTCATGTTTTTAATTGTCAAATCACACTGGACGATTGCGGCAATCCTTAAAACAACTGCAATTTAAAATATGGAGTTAAAGCTAGAACCAACGCGTTGATGCTGCTCCTTCAACAGCAAACACATCAATCATAAATATTAACACTATTTACAATACACAATTCCCCATGTATTCCGTTCTAAAACAATATAAAGTACTAAACCTGACACACTATATTAATGATTTAAATCATATTAATTTAACGTTATACATATACAAGTATGCAGTGTACAATCTTACCTTCCTTGTGAAGCATATTGAATTACTAAGTTATGTAGAGTTCTCAAACGAGCTGGAATTTCATAACCTGAAGATTGGTTTGAGTATTGACTTGGTGGTGTGGGAGATATATTGTTTCTATCTTCATTCTCATCATCAGGAAAAAGTTCCATAACGGGATCGGGTCTAGGTTTCTCACTAAGATCCTCTTGTTCTTGATTATCGTCGTATTTTTTTACAGATGTCATAAATTCGAGATGTTTTTTTTCTTCTTCAAGCTGAGCGACCAATTGTTCAGAAGCTTGAAACTTTTGTTGTGTATTAGCAAGCTCATCACGTAGCCATGCATTTTCTTGGTGCAATCTTCTAACCTGGGTCTTAAGTTTTTGCTTCTCTGCTTCAATGTTTTGAAGATGACATGATAATGCCATCATAACTTGTGCTTCACTGAGTCCCAATTCGATATTATCTATATTTTTTTTTATGATGTAGGTTTTCTCTTCATCCTTATTAGATTCACCTATTCCAGAGATTAAAGAAGCATGTTCAACCCGAAGAGCTTCCAGTCCTTGCAAGACAGTTTTTGTGTTACTTATTATTTCGTCCTGTGTCATTTGAGTCATTTTGCCAATGTTTTCGATTTTTCGACTGAAAAAAGTATGTACATATATGAAATAAATTTAATACGAAACATTATTTCGTTAATAATTAAACAAGAAACATGAGCTTACATTCTGTAATTTTTTATTGCTTTTGAGACTATCATATCCTTATATTTTCTAACTTTAACCGTCACCAACACTTCATGAAAAACAAATACTTTATAGAGCTTGCGCACTGCAAAACTTACGTCACACATTAGTTAGGGGATAAAAATTCAACCACCAATTCAAAGCGGTTTCTTTTTATCTGCGTAGTAGCCATGTAGTTAAGACGACAGATATATGTATGTACACCAATATCTTCATTATTTGCGAAATATAAGGATTTTAGATAAATGGAAATAGTGGGCGTAAAAAACCTAACTCAGGTTATATATATATATATATATATATATATGTATATATATATATATATATATATATATATATATATATATATATATATATATATATATATATATATATATATATATATATATATAACCTGAGTTAGGTTTTTAAATATATATATATATATATATATATATATAACCTGAGTTAGGTTTTTAAATATATATATATATATATAAAACAATATATAACAAAATAAATAACATACATTTTTAAAGTAAATTTCACTATCAAACTAAGTTTTCTTTCGTCGGTGGTTATGAACTAGGCTTCTGTAAATGTGAGCACAATGGTCTCTATCGGTTTTATAATTAATTCGTTTGTCATTTGGTAAACTTATAATATGTAACAGTACGTTTATATATAAATGGGTTAACCGACTGGATTTGAATTAAAATTGTCATATCCATTACTTATACTTCAAATAAATCCTCTCAAAGTATGTTAACCCTACAAAAAGTTCTAACGTAAACATGGCATAACATTTCCAATGTAAATCGTCTTTTGTAATTATTTTCTTGTGCTAATGGTCAATGGTTACAATGGTCAAAGATAATTACTCTTTTACACCCGTCAGAGGGGAAATTACTATGGATTCATTACTCATTATATACAAAAAAATATGCATTAAACACTAACATTACGGGTCGGCAACGCGGACCGGGCCAGCTAGCATCTATATATATACACATTGGGTTGGGTATATATATATTTCCTTTTTTTAACGTTTACATACAAATAAAACCCGTCAAAATTTTTATTTTTCATAAGTTTAAATCACACTTAATCTTATCGGATGACCCATGGCCCAATAATAAGGTCCCCCAAGTCAGTTGACTACCAAATTTAATATCAAAATGCATTACTGTGATTGACCACAGAAGATAAACAAATAGCCAGCAAAGTGTAAACAAAAAAATCTTAACCCTTAAAAATGACCATTAATAACATGGTAGAAGAGTACAGGTAGATGCATCAACGCTTGGGAACATTGATATGTCAAAAAATGTTAAATGCATTTCAAATATAAGTCGATTTTTATATGTTTTCTTACACGACGCCATTCGGAAGTTATTATAATTCGCGTTTTTCAACAATTTTTACAAATTTAAATAATTTTTCTTTCAACATTTTCAAACAACATTTCAAATTGGTTTGACAGTTCATTGTCCCAGCAGCTGTGTCTATGCGTCTACCTATATTCTTTTACCATGATTCATAATAAATTTGACTATGGAAATTATACAACAAATCAATTGTGAATAGTCAATTATCACCATTAATCCGGGTAAAGATATGTCATGATTGTGATTTGAAACTAAAAAATAGTCAAATCAAAACAGTGTACAAACTGCTAAATTTATTATATTCTAGACATCTAACTAAGATTGATATAAGAAATATAATTTTTATCTGATCATAATAAATCCCGAGGTCTTAAAACTGAATTTGACCCACAGCCATACTTTAAAAAATCAGCGATATTTTACGACCACAAACGACGTGAAGGGTATGAAAACGTGCAATGGTAATAGGTACAAAAACAGTGTTTAGAATGAAGACATGTAGAAGTTATCATTTTGGTCATCAAAAGTACTGTTGGTGTACATCTTGCATTGAAAATTTTGTTATTTTGTTTTGTGTGGAGAACGATAAAAAAATTAAAATTTATGACTTTGTGTGAAATTTCGCACGCTGATGAAAAGATACAAATCATTTTATTAGAGCATATTCAGGTAGAAAGCAAATTGATGATATTAACCCCTTATTGAGATGTTGATATTACATCCACATATTTTGGCTGACTAGACATATACTCCACTATGAGGAAGGAAGTTACTTTATATTGCGATGCGTAAAACAAATTGTACAAAATTTAATTATTTATACTCTCTATTGCGTTTTCGTATAAATTTCCGCATTTTACCATTCACAATTTTGTTATAACCATACTCTGTAATACGAAAGCAAAGGTCAAACTCGTGCGTAAGCGCGTCGTCCTCATCAGAGGCGTCGTCGAAGTATGGAACTTCACCGCAGTCTCCAGAACAGCAACCAACACCGCAGCATCTAACGCCACATGTTGCTGTCCCAACTCCGGATAGTGCATCGTTCTTACAATTCAATTGCAACGGACTCAGAGGCAAAATAGATGAGATAGTGGAATATTAAGATCGCAGCGGTTCAAGATAAAAAGCTGAATGAAAATTGCAGCCTGCCTCGTGTCTCGCTTGAGCTAGCCTATAGTTTCCCATACATGGAATGTATGGGGGTAGCAGTCAAGTGTGGAACTGCCAAGGTAGAGGCGATTAATGTGTATATCCCGCCGATTAATAGCTGTATATATTAGCCATATATTAGCCCATTGTTGGTAGACAATAACCGCATGGTACTAGGGGATTTTAATGCCCACCATGAGTTGTGGCATTCCGTCCTAGGTAATGACCAGAGAAGAGAGGCAGAGCAGATTAACTGCTCCACATCCTGCACAGCTAACGAGGAAGCTCCCACCCGAATAAGAGGAGAGTGTCGCAGTTCGCCAGACTTAACCATGGTGTCACCCGGTCTGATAAATGACGTGCCCTATGCCCTATCAAAGGCATTTGATATGGTCATTCATGCCATACTGTTTGAGGACGTGCAGAGAACCACCCTCCGGCCAAGTTTGAAACGTTGGATAATCAACTATATGTGTGAACGCCAGTCGTACGTGGAATTCCGGAACAAGAAGTCCAAAGCCCGTAGAGTGAAACAGGGAGTTCCCAAAGGTGGGGTGATATCCCCGGAACTGGTTAACCTTTACCTTATCGGAATTCGTCGCCCTCCAGACGGCATAGAGATCGTAACGTATGCGGATGATTGTACGATCATGGCGTCGGGCCTAGCGGACGATGACATATGTGAAAGGCTGAACCCCTATCTCGCGGAGCTTGTCGCATTCTTCCACGCGAGGAATATGAAAATATCCGCCACAAAATTAACGGCCACACACTTTACCACACGGTATGCGGAGATGAGAGCACAGCTGAATGTGCAGGTCGAGGAGAATTTAAAACCGACCACGACCTAAGCCAAGATTCTAGGGGTCACATTCGACAATATGTTCAAGTTGTCCGCGGAAGCAACGGCTATCTGCGACAAGATGAAAAGTAGGAACAAGGTCCTCAAGGCGTTAGCCGGCAGCACTTGGGGTGCGGAAAAAGAAACGTTGTTGACCTCTTATAACGCGATATGTCGATCTGTAGTCAGCTATGCGGCTCCAGTGTGGTCTGCGAATACTAGTTCTACGCAGTGGATGCACATCCAGAACTGCGACAAGGTACCTCCTCATGACACCAGTGGACCATCTACATGAGGAGGCAAAAGTCCTTCCCTTACGTCAGCATAATCATATGCTTTCGTTGCAGTACCTGCTTGGGTGTTACCGCGAGAGTCATCCCAACCATCATATGGTGGATACAACTCCCCCACCCAGGAGTATCAGGAAGGACATACACGACCTAAAGAGGGAGGCCCAACGCTATAAGAAAGAACCTCTAGATCAGTGCTTGAACCAGTTTAGCAGAACGCAAACACAACCATGATACCTTTTTCCATACGTAACCTCATTCTGTCTATTTTAGGATATAGATAAGTTTTACATTTTTTTTTCTTTTTTTGAAATTCCTGTTTTATTTAAAATTTAAAAATCGCATTCTAGTTGGGACACCTTTTATTAACTTATAATTTATTTATGGTGACGTAAAAGAAATGTCAGAACTGCACTCATTCGTTTTTCCTTATAAATTGATAATAACATTCAATGAAACGATGGCAGGATGTTTAAGTATCAGCACCTTTATCCTTTTAGAGAAAATTTAGGGAAACATTTATGTGTTTGGGTCAGAGTATTCGCTCAATCGCCATGTAAACTTCTTGAAAGAAAAGTAACAAGTTTGCTGCGATAATCCTATGAGATGGTCTTGAGAAATTTTGTGTCGATAGCAACAATGGACAAGCAATTTCAAAATGCAGTCAGTTCGGGTATGGACGAAGTCGAACGATGAAATCATCTCAAATTCTATGAAAATTGACAATTTAAAAACATTTTGTACATACAGCCTGTTTTTGTAAGAAAAAGTTACCTTCACTTCATTATTTAGTTAATTTTTTATTTGATTTCATTAGGGGTTGTGCTGCTTGTGGCAACTCCAATAAATTCAAAACTTAACCAAAATTTGTAAAATCTAGTCTATATATATAAATCAATTGTTGTTCGTTGGTAATGGAATCAGTTGAAAACGGCTGAACCGATTTGCATAATTTTTTGTACAAATGTTCATCATAAAGATAAAATCCAAAAAATTGCGTAAAAATGTGAAATTTGAAAATTTTCATTTTGATTTTTCAGTTGAAAACGGCTGGACCGATTTGCATAATTTTTTGTACAAATGTTCATCATACCCCGAGTTAGGTTTTTAAAGACAAAATCCAAAAAAATTGCGTAAAAATGTGAAATTTGAAAATTTTCATTTTGATTTTTGTGGAGTAAAATAGTAATGTTTTATTTTGCATGATTTTTTCCATTTTGACTTACTATTTTGGAATGTACATTTG